TCCCATGTCATTTTGAATTACCAATCTCAAGTTATAGTCTTTGACTTAAAGTGCCTTTTTGTTGACTTTTGAAAATGACCTATAATGTTGAAATTGATAACTTTTTGTGAGAGCATTTCTTGGACTTGGAATGTGAAGATGAGTTGTAGGAAATGTCATCCCCTTCAAAATGATCATTGGATGGGATTTTTCTGATGAACCATGAAAAAGTTATGCCTTGGTCAAGTTACAGTTGACTTTTCAGCTGTCCAAAAATAGAAACTTTTGCATATTGAGACTTTTTGAGCCATGCTTGTGGAATCATGATCAAGAATTGATCAAATGATGATTGTGGCTTCAAAATAAGATATTGATCAAAAATTTTGACTTTTGACTGTCAAATGACCATTTTGCCCCTGCAGTTGACTGTGAAGCATTTAGGGCTTTTGACTGTGCAACTTGATGCTGTGAGTCTTGAAACTTGACATATAGATGTTTGACAATGTATATAGGCATATGGGACTTGATTGGACCCTTGAAAGCCTCAATTTCTTTGCAAGAACCAAAACCCTAATTTTGACTGTGTTAGGAGGCAATTGGACTGTGCAACCCTTGAGAGATTTTGAATCATTTGGAGATTGACCTTGGCAAATCTTGAAGAATATGGGGGGGCAAATTTTGGGGTACAATAGCGAGCATAGCATGAATATCGCGAGCGAAGGGTGAATCTGGCAATCAAGTTCATAATATTGCTGGCCCGATACAATACTACGGGGAAAACTAGCCTACATACTAACGAAAGGATGAATCTCCCGACCAGGTTCATAGATCTACTAGCCAAACGTATGAGTATCACGGGCACGATCATAAACCGTATGCCTAAACTTATGAATGTCTCGACCATAGTCATGAATCAGGCGCCTAAGGTGCTTAAATTTCTCGGGCACAATCCCCAGACATGAGATTCTACCGCTAAAACACCATCAAAATCTATCTACAATATGAAATATCTAAGGGAAAAAACACTTAAGAGAAGAGTGAAGAGCGACGGTGGTGGAGATGAACACACGGCAAACGGCGCGGCGGTCTTAGCGGCGCTAGGAAAACTCACGGTGACTGAAAACAGAAAATATGAGAAGCGTGAAGATGTGAAAATAAACTATGGGCCCTGAAGCCCTATTTATAGAGATGACGTAGAATATGAAACGTCACACCTACTCGCGTAGACAATGATGACCCTACTCCCTAGGGAGGCATTGTGGTTTCCAAGAGCCGCACCACGTGTCTAACTGACGCGTCACCACCTCCCTACGAGCGCTCCTCGAACACTTCTCGATCGCTGCACTGGGCAAATCACGAACTGGGCGATGTCTCACCTCCCCGATTGAAAACCCTTGTGTCGCGTAAGCGAGCCTCACGAAAGGGAAAACTTGAATCAAGTCATAACTCCCGTACCAGGAGCAACGACTTTGGGGGCTCATGTTCTGGACTGGGTCTGCCCGTGGCCCAATCACCAGTGAGGCCCAATCCAAGCTTGTCAACATATCATACTGAGCAGTAGATCCTCCGAGCACACCCGATCATGGGTAACTGGTCGGCTGCGATTACGTCCCCGACGATGCCCGCGAGGAACATCCCGATCAAGCTCTGCCTGAGTACCCTCCTCGTAGGGCAGACTCTCAACCTCTCCGGATGTCGCGGAGTCCTCAGGGTCCCGGGAAGATCGCGTCTCTACCCTCCCCATTTTGCGGAGAGCATCATCCAGGTAGGGGACCACGTGCAGGTCCCCGCTACTCACGTAGAACCTGACAGTCCCTTTGTTGGGCTTGTTTTGATCAGCCCAATAAAGGGACGTTGGTCCAGCGCTGGGGGCTATAAATACCCTTTATTTCGAGAGGGCCATGTATTCATTCATTCACACCTATATACTTACTTGCTTGCTCATTCTGTCTCTCACTTTGCCATCAGAGTGTCTTGCAGGTATCCCCTCATCTCCTTCAAATCCAACTCAAAGCCAGCTGTGACGGTCCAACTCTGATCATGTACGATCACCTACAATATATAAAAATATTTGAATCAATAATATATAAAGCAATAGTAAAGTTATTATATTATTATTTAATATTTTAATGAGTAATTTTATTTTCATGTTATTATTCAATATTTTGATCAGTAATTTCATATTTCCGTTATTATTTAATATTTTGATCAGTAATTTTATGTTTTCGTATTTATTCAATATTTTGATCAATAATTTTATATTTTTTTTATTATTCAATATTTTGATCAGTAACTTCATATTCCCGTTATTATTCAATATTTTGATAAATAACATACATATATTATTTTAAATATATTTTCTTTTATGTATAATGCATGTAACATGCATACATTATTTTACATTATCTTGACCAATATAATACGCATATTTATTTCTAAAATATAATTAAAATAAAATAATTTAAAAAAAATAATAATAAAACGGTATCTACAATTCTTTGTTATATATATATATATATATATATATATATATATATATATATATATATATATATATATATATATATATATATATATATATATATATATATATATATATATATATATATTTTGAGAATGAATTTTTAGTGTCCATTAATATTTTTTGTATTATTGTCAAGTATAATATAAAAAATAATCTAAATTTAAACTATCAACTTAACTCTCATTCTAGCATAATTCACATAATGACTGATTCTTTATTTGATTCTTTATTAAAGTTCTACAAATTCTAGAAGATTTGTATCATACATCCAATAAGTTTAATTAACAACTATAATTTGACAATCAATATCCTCAAATTGGATATAAAACTCCAAAATTTTTAAAAAATAAATTATATTTTAGTTTATAAAGTCAATATACATGTTTAAATCAAAATACATTACTTATAAATGTAAGATACATCATTAAAGAAACCAAAAAGCCCCTAAAAACCATACCTACAACATCCTACCAAAACTACAAGCCCCCCACTTAATGCATTAATATGTGAAGTAGCAAAAGGCATAATAAGAGAGATATCTAATCCACCAGAAATAGAAGTCTCTACACCTCAAAACAATAGACCACGCGATTGAAAATTACCTAACCAATTTAACATTTAGATATGAACACCAATCCATCTGCGGTAGTAAAAAATTATTATAGAATTAGTAAGTTTTGCAATGGAACAACAATCCATAAACTATATAAATAACATAATGTTGATCAGCCAGTTCATATTTCAGAGTTACAAACACTAAGATCGAAATTTGCGAGGCACAATTACAACACTAAATCCAAATCACAAAATAATGCATAATTATTTTACCAGCTCCTTAAGTATGAGATTGAAAAGTGAAGTTGTGCGGAATCCATTCTACGTTCACTACGTTCAAGTGCTTGTTTGGATGTGACAAACATGGAGGGAACATTCTAAAAATTACAAACAATACAAATTTAATCATGCTATACATTGTTGCAAGTTTATATAGACTTCCTGCAACATTATTCCGGCTATAACATACGACTTTCCCGTTCCGTGTGTCTGATGCATTAAGGTTGTGTGTTGCAAACCATTATTCATTTTATGTTGTTAATAGGAATGTTGATTGTAAGACCGACGTAATGCTTCAGGGATTTAGTTCAGCTTATCATTTCTCTTCAAGTGGAAGCAGCAAGAATCATACAACTACATAGATAAATTGATCAACAACAAAACTTCGGTAGTTAGTGATGAATTATTAAAATTATTTTATTCTATTTCTAACCATGAAGAGTATATAGAGGAAGCTTATTATGGTTTACAAACTTTACAACACGAAAACCAGCAACCACTGCACCGATACAACCTTACAACTGAGTCAAGATTCCATAGAACGAACTAAAATTTTATGATTAAATTTTCTTATAGTTATTCTAATACACTACAATTCTTATCTATCTTATAGAAGTTTCCATAGACTTAGAGCAAACTCAACTGCTCAAAGAAAATGACATTACTTAAAAGAGACCGAAAATTCTTGGATTTAGATGCGTAAAGTACCTGTGCTCCATATCGTAAATTATAGTGATGCCAATCCAATACTGACTGAATTTTGGCTCTCCTGCTGGATACCTGAAACATCAACAACGAAAGACATTGAACCACCTATGTTATGTGGAATGTGTGTAAAGTTTCCTTAAACACCAATAAATTTATAGACTTTAATCATAACTGAAGAAGCATAAACATATAAAATGAGAAACAAAATGAGAAGCATAAACATATAGACTTTTGTCATTCAACTTATTGAGTTGCAGTTACAATAAAGTATATTTAAGCGGTGGACATATCATGAAAGTATCTCCAGCTACACAAACTAACATGCCATGTTTCTCACATTGTGCTGCGATATAGGCACTTATTCCTGTAAAAAAATACCTCATAGAATCAGAACAAACCGGTAACTATGCCCCACAAAATTAAACAATTACTAAAATAACTTAATTAAACAATTATTACATAAACACTTGAGATAACAAAATATATATGTGATGAAAACCGTAACCTTTGGCTCAAGATCTTGAATATTATCAGCAAAAATATCATTCCAATTAGAAGTCAAAGTATCTTCGCACTGATTAGCTGGTCAGTCCACTCCTACCAATCATTTCGCTTAGAAAACTCCTCAGTAGCCATAATATTGTAGTCACTGCTCTCTAATGGATTATTATTATTATTATCATTATCATTAATTGAGGCATTGGCTGAGAAATCAAGAAAGCTAGGCAGGGAAATCTGCATGCCATGAATAACTGTTTTCATTGGAATAATGTGTTGATGTGGTAGAAGGTACTGGTCCATACGGTAATGGCACTGGAGCCAAGCTACTCAATGGTTGTACAATAAAATGAGAATTTCTAAAAGGTTTTTCATGAGGAGAAAGGGATGAGTGATGAGCAAAAACTCTCTGAAGAGAAAAAACTCAAAATTCTCCAATCTCCACCATATTCAAACCTCAAAGCTTCTTATAAAACCCCAATTCAACACCAGTTAAGCTAGCAATGTCCAATTCCTGTGAAAAACAATATCAATTAGTGAAATCCAATACCAGTGAGTAGTTCCAAAGGGCATAAAGCTATTTACCATTCCAACATTTACTTTGAAGTTGTGGCCATAATCACGGTTGCAAATAGTTATTCAAAACGAAATCAACATAAGTAAGACATCTTTGGCGAGCAATTACTTATCTTAAATTGATTACATTCATTGAGAGTCAGCTAGCTACTCACCTCCTTTCTCCTCACATAAAAGTTGAATATACATGATAGACTCACCTCCTTCCTTTCATTTAGACATTTATCCAAACACATAGTGAGCAACAAAACAAAGAAACAACTTAAATTTGACAGCGATTTGTGATGGATCTAAAACGACAGCAGTGGGTTTCACAACAACATCAACAATGACTTTATAGAGAATCAAACAACGTTAGTTAACGAAATAGAAAGCATAATAGACAGAGAAAAGGAAAGAAGCTGAAGAAAAATACAAACTTGCGGTGTGAGTGAATGTGGTAACAAAATCAAACTGAAGAGGGAGAAGTAAGATAGGTACGTTGCATTACCCTGAAGGTTACTTTTATTGCCTTGAGTTGGTGCCAATTAAACTGATGCATTTTGAATTTCCTCATCAATATCACCCTAAAATTCAATTTCAACATAAACAACATGAATAAATTTGTCAATCATATAACACGATTAAACAACAATATAAAAAAATAACATACGTGAGTCCAAAAACTCGAAGCGATGTTTTTTCAAAAGCTCTGAGCAGTGTATAAGAAAGTAACGACGTTGAACAGAGAAAGTGTAGAAGGTCCAATAATCGCAACGAGGATGAATATGTCAGGTCAACATAGATCCTGAATACCTTGCTTATAATCAGCTTCAATCCAAAGAAACGCGACTTTTAAACGAAAATCAATAACCGCAATGCGACCTTGACGATCGCCGGCAGCGAGGAAGACGATTCGGAAGAGAGTAGATGAAGGTTGAAAGAGAAACCGTTTTGAATGGAATATGGACAATGATTCGGGAAAAGAATTCAAGATTCAATTTTGTAACCGTCATGATTTCAATGTTTTGTGGAAAATGAGAACGTATTTTGAGAAAACAAATTCAAGGATTTCCAAGAAAAAATTGTCTGCTTACAGTGTACAACCATTTCTTATATTATAAATTTCGTTTATTTCAACCAAATAAAAGCCACGTGTTGTGATTCTGGAAGAAAATAAATAAAATAATTTTTTTTTGGATAATTATACTTTTCTTATATAATAAACTAAAATTAATTTAATAATAATAATTATTAATTTATTAATTATTATTAATTAAAACTACTCATTCTCTTAAAAACTAGTAACAAATTCGTGCTATCGCACGGGTCTCGTCTGGATTCACATTACATTTATAGATTATTAAATTATTAAATATGTTACTATGTTTTCAGTTGAATATATGTCTCATGTAAACCATGTTTTCAGTTGAGTATATGTTTCATGTAAACCATGTTGACATTTAACTTCATATTTGTAGCAAGCGTCAGTCCTATCAACAAATCACGTATGCATGAACAAATAGGAAAAATTATATACTTCTTGAAATACATGGAAAATGTACATACTATATATTTTAATTAAAAATAGATTTTTAATTTGAATCGTAAAGTATAAGATATAAAGTTTACCAACTATCAAAGTGCTTGAAAGACTTCCTTGTACACAACATTAGTAGTAGTAGAACACGGTACATTCTCCTTGTCATGAATTATGATTTTTAGCCCACTTTTGCTCTTAACTCTTAAAATTGCAACATATAATTGACCATGACTAAACACAGGAGTAGGCAAATACAATCCAACACTATCAAAAGATTGACCTTGTGACTTATTAATTGTCATTGCATAGGAGACAATAATCGGAAATTGTCTCCTAATCAACTTGAATGACCAAGGTGAATCAGAAGGTGACATAGACATTCGTGGAATGTAAAAAATGTTACCTATGTTCTTTCCAGACATGATTTTTGTCTCAATGACATGATTTGTAAATCTTGTAACAATTAATCTTGTTCCGTTGCACAACCCATCGGCTTAGTCCAAATTTCTCATTAGCATAATAGGTGTACCAACCTTCAATTTGATCCTATGATTGGGAAGCCCTGACGTTCTTAATTTACTGAGAAATTCAGGAGTTAGAACTTCATATGCTTCAGTATAACTTGAATCTGTTCTATCAATGGAATCAAAACTCAAATACTCTTTCTCTTCTCCTAAAAAAAAGTTTAAAAGCAAAACATAAATAAATTAGTAAAACTATGTTCTTAAATATATATATATATATATATATATATATATATATATATATATATATATATATATATATATATATATATATATATATATATATATATATATATATATATATATATATATATATATATATATATATATATATATATATATATATATATATATATATATATATATATATATATATATATATATATATATATATATATATATATATATATATATATATATATATATATATATATATATATATATATATATATATATATATATATATATATATATATATATATATATATATATATTATGAATGTAATAATACAGTAAATATAAAACACATGTACCTGGTATCAAGTCTAATACATAATGATTGATTTTGTCCACAACTTTAATGGTTGAAGCAAGAATAGCCTTTCCTTGTAAGAATTCAACATCTTGATATTTTTCCAACAAATTGGGATATGTGTTTTCAACAATTGCTCTTATAGGATCATCAAAATTTGATATTAATAGCTCTTGAGGAATTTCAATATCAACCAAACCATCATTGGGTTCACAAATCTTACCATCACCCACATTTAAAATCCATTTTGAAAATTCCGCTAGTTCATTAGAACTTGTGTTGTCTCTTCCCTCTTGAAGTCTCATATTTTTTGATAGTGTTAAAACCTGGTGTGATACGGTGGGAGAACTGACTATGGTTTTGCGTTTGTTTTCGCAAATGTTTCGGTTGAGCAAGAGTCGCCACCGAACTTTTTATTTTATCCTAAGGAAAGGTTTAAAAAGCACAGCAAAAACCTTTGAGATTTTTCTTGGGTTCGAGGAGTAGATTATAGAAAGGGAAGGTATTAGCACCCTTTTTATCCATGGTTATCCATGGGCTCTTAGGTACTTGCTTAGATCAACTTGCCTTGGTTTTCAATTGTTTGAAATGGTGCTTGGTGTGTGGTTTTGAAAATGTTTTGAAAAGATGCATTGCATAGGCTACCCTTGTAACAATTCTTTACTTGAATGTTTTACAAAAGGTGTTTTGTCTTTAGAAAAGATGTTTCAAGGTTTTTGAAAGTTGATTTTGAAAGTGTTTGTGAAGTGGGTTTTGAAAATAGGCAAGTGTTTTCTTTGCAAATTGACAAGTACTTAGGAGTTATCTACCCTAAAGTTTTCTCAAAGATTTTTGTTATGTTTTAAACCTTTTGACAATTTTGTTCCACCATTGCATTTAGTGGACAATCTTGTCTTAGGAGGTGAAAGGGACGGGCGCGGGTCATCGTTTAGACCATAATTGCAATAGTGTTAAATGTCTTTGGGCAATTTTTTAAAAGGGACTTGATCATTCATTTAGGCAACATTTTGAGGGACTATGATCATTTGATTGTTTGTTTTACCCAAAGAAGTTCAACATGCAATATGACCCAATTATTTGAAGGCAACAAAGTGGAATACCCTAGGGGTGCAAGTGTGAAGTGTGTTGTCCATTTTCATACTTATTTATCTTGAGATTATGTCTAACTATTTTTTGTTCATTTTATTCGCATGCAAACCCTAGCTCTAACATAGTATATTTAGAAAGCGATAAAGTGCGAAATTTAAGTTCCTACACTATTACAACACAATAATATGGGGAGGGGGGTACAAATGTTCAAATGGGGAGATATTTAGACAAGAAATTGAATCTAAGCTATTACATCATTTGCTTTGAATATTTACAATATGATTAAAAGCACAAATAAAATAGAAATAAAACAAATATGCAAGAATGCAAAAAGAATTTTTATATGTATGAAAAAAGTATTATTTATGTAAAATAAAAAAGAAAATAAAAAGGTATTATTTTTGGAATATTTTCATATTTAGGGTAAAACCCTAATTTTTAATCATAAGGGATATTAATCAATTAATTCATATAATAATTATTATTTACATACAAAAATAAAATAAAATATAGTATATTTGTAAAAAGGGTATTTTTTAGTATTAAATATTAAAAAAATAAAATATGTACATTTTTTGGTATTTTTATCCTAAGTATATTAATATATACCTATATATTCATATTATTTACAAAACATGTATTATATATATTAATTAATAATATTTAATATTTAAATAAAAAGTATTTTTTCTATAAAATATTTTCAGGAAGTAAAAATAAGATAGAAATGTGTATAAAAATATATTTTGTACTATCTTAATATTTTAAACAAAAAGTATATATATATATGTTTATTTATTTATGTACAAAACAAAAGAAACAATCAAATAAATACTCAATAAATTCAAAAAATGATGAGAAAAATATTTTTATGTTTTTAATATGCTGAGAAAAAATAAATGAACCAATAAAAAAAAAGCAAAAGTCAAAAATATTAAAAATGAATGAAATGGGCTCAGGGGGTGCAAAACAAAAATCATGGTGTGAATAAGAAATATGAAACAAGCCCAGCCCAATACACCCTTCTTCAACCTCCAGCCAAAAACGTTCAGAAAACGCGCGCTTGGTTCCAACATTCAAACATCCTGATTCCTGGCTTATTAATGGAAACTCATAACACAAAAAATGTTCAGCATCAAGAGACGAATCCAACCATATGCAGAACTTGTCCTAACTCTCTAAGATGAGGGAGAATTTCTTCTCCCCCAAATTCTAACCTAGATTTTCTGCCATTTTTAAACCTCAAATTCTCACAGCTCAAGCAAAAGAAATGAAAAGTAAAAACATGTACATGTTCAGTGGCATGAGTAGAACATTGTTTATTCACAAACTTAAAGCTAATGATGCCTAATAAGAGAGATACGAGTTCACCAAGATACCTGTTCAGCTGAAGTTCTATCTGGCAATGAGGGAGCTTTCAGTGCAAGGTGATGATTGGAAAAACTTCCTTGAGGTCCAGGGATGCTATTCCAATGTTTACTTTGTCTTGAAAGCTTCTGAATCGTGCTAGAGCACTCCACCTGCAAAACAAGAAACTGAAAATGGTGGAAGTGGTTAGAGGGATTACAGGTCGTGTTTTTGCTTTTGGTTAGCTTGCATAGATGTTAGGGAATGTATGTGAACTGGTTTGGGCAAGAGAGCTTGAGAGAAATGGAAGATGGCACTCAAACTGCAGGCCTGACCCTGTTTTTGCTGTTTGAAGATGATTCTGAGATTGGGAGTGTTTGAGAGGTGCTAGGGTCGTGCAAAAGCTTGGTTGGGATATTTGGAATGTGTATACAATATTTGCTTCTCTGTTCTAATGCTGAGATGAAAGATGTCCTATGTTATGGCACTTTACTTCACACTTAAGCAAGCAAAACCAACTTGGTGTTTTAGGCAAGTAGGGGACCCCTAATGAGCTGCATAACCTCTCCTTGATCAGAGTGTTTTGCTCATAATCTTGTGCCAATTGGATTTGGTTTGTACTTGTGGATTTGCATCATGACATAAAGTGAAACTTTTGCAAAAATGGAAAGAATGCTTTATCTAATTTGGGATTAATCCATCATACAATGCCTTAGCTCATGAAACAAGGTCTTAGCATAATGAACATGCATTAAATTATTGAGTGTTGGATGGTTTTAGGACCTGTAATCAAGGGGCATGCTGGTTTGAGAAGTTTGCACAAATTATGAACATGGAAAATGGCCAATTCAAAAGTGGATTTTTGCCAAATTGTGAAATTCGAATCTCTCAAGTCATGAAGTTGTTTGAGAAGTTCTTAGACATTTTGGAAAGCTTGGAATGTGTACTACAATCCATCTTTGAAATGAAAATTGAAATTCC